GATTGTGCTTTGGTATTATATCTAAGAACTCTATTCCCAGGTCACAAGAATTTTAGATGTTTTCACCTAAAAATTTTATAGTGTTACTTTTTTACATTTAGACCTATGACCCATTTATATCAATTTTTGTATAAAGCATGTGGTTTGAAATTGCCTTCTTTTGGTATATCAATGTCCGATTGTTCCAGTGCCGTTTGTTGAAAAGACTATTCTCCTCTCTGTTGACTTGCTTTTGCACCATGTCAGAAATCAGTTAACCGTATGTGTGTGGCCTACTGCTGGATCCTATTGTTCAAAAGACCTGTGTATATACCCCTTTACCCCAACTACACTGCTTACAGGAACGCTTAAAAGTGGGGAGTATGATTTAACTTTATTTTTCTCTTTCAAAATTGTTTAGACTATTATAGTGTCTTTGCTTTTCTTTTTTTTTTTTTTTGAGACGGAGTCTCGCTCTATCGCCCAGGCTGGAGTGCGGTGGCACGATCTCGGCTCACTGCAAGCTCTGCCTCCCGGGTTTAGGCCATTCTCCTGCCTCAGCCTCCCGAGTAGCTGGGACTACAGGCGCCCGCCACCACGCCCTGCTAGTTTTTCGTATTTTTTAGTAGAGACGGGGTTTCACTGTGTTAGCCAGGATGGTCTCGATCTCCTGACCTCGTGATCCGCCCGTCTCGGCCTCCCAAAGTGCTGGGATTATAGGCTTGAGCCACCGCGCCCGGCCGTGTCTTTGCTTTTCATACACATCTTAGAATCAGCTTGTCTATGTCTTGTCATAGCTTGTCCAGACCAAGAGACATCCGGGCCAACCAGTGGGTAACTCACAGCCATTCAGTGGTACTTTGAATTCTGGTTGTGTTAGTCCATTTCACACTGCTGATCAAGACATACCTGAGATGGGGTAATTTATAAAGAAAAAGAGGTTTAATGGCTGGGGAGGCCTCACAATCACGGCAGAAGGCGAAGACATGTCTTACGTGGCAACAGGCAAGAGAGAAAATGAGAACCAAGTAAAAGCGCTTTCCCCTCATAAAACCATTAGATTTCGCAAGACTTATTCCTTACCATGAGAACAGTATGGGAGGAACCGCCCCCGTGATTCAGTTATCTCCCACCAGGTCCCTCCCACAATACGTGGGAATTATGGGAGCTACAATTCAAGATGAGATTTGGGTGGGGACACAGCCAAACCGTACCATTGGTCTTTCCTAATCCACCTGCTGCTGTTTACTGCTCAGAAACCTCAAGTATCTGCTCCACAAGTTGCGTCCAGATTTTATAGCTGCATTCCACAGGAGAGGCAGGTGGAACTTGCTTACTCCATCTTACCTGGAATCGAAACCCTCTTGTTAATTTTTAATACTGTGAAAATGGCATTGTAGTTATATATATATATATATATATATTTTTTTTTTTTTTTTTTTTGAGACGGAGTCTCGCTCTGTCGCCCAGGCTGGAGTGCAGTGGCCAGATCTCAGCTCACTGCAAGCTCCGCCTCCCGGGTTCATGCCATTCTCCTGCCTCAGCCTCCCGAGTAGCTGGGACCACAGGCGCCGCCACCTCGCCCGGCTAATTTTTTGTGTTTTTAGTAGAGACGGGGTTTCGCCGTGTTAGCCAGGATGGTCTCGATCTCCTGACCTCGTGATCCGCCCGTCTCGGCCTCCCAAAGTGCTGGGATTACAGGCTTGAGCCACCGCGCCCGGCCTGTAGTTATATTTTTAAAGCCCTTATGTTTTAGAGATGCAAACAGAAATATATATGGATTACATATTTATTTATTTATTTATTTATTAGTTAGTTTTATTCTTTTGAGATGGAGTCTTTTCCTGTCACCAGGCAGGAGTGCAGTAGCGCGATCGGCTCATTGCAACCTCCACCTCCGGGTACAAGCGATTCTCCTGCCTCAGCCTCCCGAGTAGCTGGGACCACCACGCCCTGCTAATTTTTGTATTGTTAGTAGAGATGGGGTTTCACTGTGCTGGGTAGGCTGGTCTTGAACTCCTAAACTCTAGTGATCCGCCTGCCTTGGCCTCCCAAAGTACTGGGATTATAGGCATGAGCCACTGTGCCCAGCCTGGATTTAAATTATTTTTTTCAGCAACAGCGAGAACTGTTGTTTAAAAAATGTCAGATTAGCAAGGATAAAGAAGTTTGTTAATGGAAAGGCAGCAGGAGGCGGCGGTGTGGACACCGCAGCGAGCCTTCCTGGGTTCCAACCCCAGCCCCTCACCTTCACAAACGTGGCCTTGAGCTGCCGCTAGCCTCCCTCAGCTGTAATGGGGACAGTCATAAACCCTTCTCCCAGGGTGTGGGGTGGACAAAATAAGTTGAAAGGCAGAAGCATTTAGAACCTGTGAGTGAATCTGAGCTGTTTGCCCAGGGGTGAGGAGAAGGGTCAGAAGGGTGCAGCACCATGGAGGGCAGTCTCCTGTGCCAGCATTTTCAACACTTGTACCTGTTGACTCAGCAAACTCTCCCCCTAGGAATCGTTCCTATGTGATCTCACAGGGGGGCCACTTCAGGGTTCATGGTAACAGCAAAGGTCAGGAGGGCCCTAAATACTCACCTACAGGGACACGCTCCATTACGGCTCAGCGCTAATTTGTTTAGAATAGAGTCCTATGCAGACGTCTACCGTTCTGCTGTGGGAAGCTAGGTCTGTCTATGTTGTGGTGCAGAGGGAAGGGCACTGCCGGCCACCATGTGTATAAAAATAGAATAATACACACGTAGGTGTGCCTGCCTCTCCACGCACAGACGCTCCACAAAGGCCCCGAGGGCCCAGCAGTGGCGCCCCTCAGAGAGGAGAGCTGGAGACAGGAAGTATGCGAGGGCAACTCAGTTTTCACCAAGTATCTTCTCTTTTTTTTTATTTTTTGTGACGGAGCCTCACGCTGTCGCCCAGGCTGGAGTGCAGTGGCGCAATCACAGCTCACTGCATCCTCGGCCTCCTGGGCCAAGTGATCCCTCCGCCTCAGGCTTCTAAGTAACTGGGACCACAGGCAGCTGCCACCATGCCCAGTTAATTTTTAAATTTTGTGTAAAGGCAAGGTCTCCTTATGTTGCCCAGGTTGGTCTCAAACTCCTGGGCTCAAACACTCCTCTTACCTTGACCTCCCCAAGTGTTGAGATCATAGGCATGAGCCACCATACCCAGTCTTTTTTTTTTTTTTAATTTTTTTTGTGGGCTAAAAAATCCTCCCACCCCAGCCACCTAAGTAGCTGGGGTTACAGGCATACCACCATGCCTGGCTAATTTTTTGTAGAGACTGGGTCTGGCTATGTTGCCCAGGGCTGGTCTTTAACTCCTGGCCTCAAGCAGTCCTCCCACGTCAGCCCCCCGAGTAGCCAGGGTTACAGGTGTGGGCCACCATGCCCTGCAGGGCCCTTCTTCGGCAAGTTTTCTTCATTTTTTCATTGAATTATTTTACTCCCACATACTCCAAACAGACAGCCCCCACAAGGGTTTATCACTCCTATTTAGAAATAAAGAAATGTTAATTCAAAAAGGTTAAGTGTGGCCAAGGCCACACAGGGATGTGTGCCTGATGCTACCACACACATCCCTCTTCCTGGGGAGAAGTGAGTATGTGGGAATAGGAGGCAGCAGTCTGGGGATTTGGATTTTAGCTACGTTCTACTGGGGAACCTGGAACAACTAACCTCCGTGAGTTAAACTCAGAGTCCAGGCAGCTGTGACTGAAGCCTCCCTTCTGCCTGAGGCCAGGAGGGGCTGCTGGAGGCTCAGATGTGCCGCGTTTCGTGTTCACTCACTCCATGTGAACACGTCCTAGTTTGTCCCATGGCTCAATGGCACTCTTTGTTTATAGAAATTCTTCTTTCTGCCAGGCGCGGTGGCTCACGCCTGTAATCCCAACACTTTGGGAGGTTGGGGCGGGCAGATCACGAAGTCAGGAGTTCAAGACCAGCCTGACCAACATGGTGAAACCCCATCTCTATTAAAAATACAAAAATTAACCGGGTGTGGTGGCACACACCTGTAATTCTAGCTACTCAGGAGGCTGAGGCAACAGACTCACTTGAACCTGGGAGGTAGAGGTTGTGGTGAGCTGAGATCATGCCATTGCACTCTAGACTAGGTGACAGAGCGAAACTCTGTCTCAAAAAATAAAAATAAAAAAGTAATTATTCTGTTTCATTTTGCATATTTCTATCGCTATGTTTTCAAATTATCTAAACTTTTACAAATTTTTTTTTATTGAGATGGGGTCTCATTATGTTGCCCAGGTTGGTCTTAAACTCCTGGCCTCAAATTCTCCTCCCGCCTTGGCCTCCCAGAGTGCTGGGATCACAGGCGAGAGCCACGCTCACCAGGCTCTTCCTCTGCAGCATATTGTCTGCTGCGAATCCCGTCCTGTGTATCTTTCATATCACACATTATAGTTTCAACTCTGGAAAATTACTTTCAGGCATTTTTATAAGGTCCATGTTTTTACTTAACTTTTCTCATACATAAAATACAGTTATAATAACTTTTAATATATTTGTCTGTTAATTCTAACATATGTGTTAACTACGAGTTGTTTTTGATTGGTTGATTTTTCTCCTCAAGGCTAATATATATATATTTTGAGATGGAGTCTCGCTGTGTTGCCAGGCTGGAGTGCAGTGGCGCGAACTCGGCTCACTGCAACCTCCACCTACCGGGTTCAAGAGATTCTCCTGCCTCAGCCCCCTGAGTAGCTGGGACTACAGGTGCGCGCCACCATGCCCAGCTAATTTTTGTATTTTTAGTAGAGACAAAGTTTCACCATTTTGGCCAGGATGGTCTTGATCTCTTGACTTTGTGATCCTCCTGCTTGGCCTCCCAAAGTGCAGGGGTTACAGGCGTAAGCCACTGTGCCCGGCCAAGGCTAGTATTTTCCTGCTGTTTGCATGCCTGGTAACTTTCCATGAGATTATCATTGTCATGTAATTTACTTGGTTGGGTGCTGCATATTTTCGTATTCCTATAAATATTCCTGAGCTTTGTTCCTGGATGCAATTAAGTTACTTGGAAATGGTTGAATCTTTCCAGGTCTTGGTCTAAGATTTGTTATGCAGGAACAGAGTAGTTTTCAGTTGAGGGATAATTGTTCCTTTAGGGTGCTAGATAAAATACAGAACACACAGTGGAATTTTAATTTCAGATAAACAACAATGTTGTAACACAAATATTAATATATCCCTGCAATTTTTTTTTTTTTTTTGAGACAGGGTCTTGCTCTACTCCCCAGGCTGGAGTAGAGCAAGCTCACAGCTCACTGCTGCCTCTACCTCCCAAGCTCAAGTGATCCTCTCACCTCAGCCTCCTAACTGGGACCACAGGCATGTACGACCACGCCTGGCTCATTTTCTTAATTATTTGTAGAGACGAGATCTTGCTCTGTTGCCCAGGCTGGTCTCACACTCCTGGGCTCAAGCTATCCTCCCACCTCAGCTTCCCAAAGTGCTGGGATTAGAGGCATGAGCCACCATGCCTGGCCCTGCCCATTTTTAAATTGGATTATTTGTATTTGTATTATTGCATGGTAAGAACTTGTTAAAATATCTATCTTGGATACACGTCTCTTATCAGACAGATGATTTGCAGATACTTTCTCCCATTGGGTAGCCTGCCTTTTCACTTTCTTGATGGTATCCTTTGAAGCATACAAGTTTTCAATTTGGTGAATTCGAATTAATCTATTTTTAAATTTTGTCTTGGGCCGGGCGCGGTGGCTCATGCCTGTAATCCCAGCACTTTGGGAGGCCGAGACGGGTGGATCACGAGGTCAGGAGATCAAGACCATCCTGGCTAACACAGTGAAACCCCGTCTCTACAAAAAAATACAAAAATTAGCCGGGCACGGTGGTGGGCACCTGTAGTCCCAGCTACTTGGGAGGCTGAGGCAGGAGAATGGTGTGAACCCGGGAGGCGGAGCTTGCAGTGAGTGGAGATCGCGCCCCTGCACTCCAGCCTGGGTGACAGAAGGAGACTCCGTCTCAAAAAAAAAAAAAAAAAAATTGTCTCTTGTGCGTTTGGTGTCATATCTAATAAGCTATTTTATAGTTTTAGCTTTTACATTCAAATTCATGATCCGTTTTTAGTCGATTGGGTCTAACTTCATTCTTTTGCATGTGGATATCCAGTTGTGTGTGTGTGTGTGTGTTGGATGTGTGTTTGTGTGTCATGTATGTGTGCTGGGGTGTGTGGGGTGTTGTATTAGTGTGTGTGTGTTGGGTATGTGTGTGTGTTGGGTGTGTGGAAGTGTCTGTGTGTTGTATGTGTTGGTGTGTGTGGGTGTGTGTGTTGTGTGTATGTTGGGTGTGTGTTGGGCATGTGTGTGTGTTGGGTATGTGTGTTGTGTTGGTGTGTGTTGGGTGTTGGGTGTGTGTACGTTGTGTATGTATTGGGAGGTGTGTTGTGTATATGTGTGTGTTAGGTGTGTGTGTGTGTTTGGTGTGTATATGTGTGTGTTGTGTGCGTTGGGCATGTGTTGTGTGTATTGGGGGTGTATATGTGTATGTTGTGTGTTGGGTATGTGTATGTGTGTGTTGGAAGTGTTATGTGTTGGGTGTGTGTGTGTTGGTGTGTGTTGTGTTGGGTATGTGTGTATGCTGTGTATGCTGGGATGTGTGTTGGGTATGTGTGTATGCTGTGTATGCTGGGATGTGTGTTGGGTATGTGTGTGTGTTGGGTATGTGTGTGTGTTGTGTGTGTTGAGTGTGTGTGTCTGGGGGTTGTGTAGGTGTGTTGGGTGTGTGTGTGTGTTATGATGTTGGGTGTGTGTATGTGTGTGTTCAGTGTGTGCGTTGGGTATGTGTGCGTGTGTTGGGTGTGTGCGTGTGTTGGGTATGTGTGTGTGGGGTATGTATATGTGTGTGTGTGTTTGTTGTGGGGGTGTGGGCACAGAGCTTACCTGCCCTCCCTGGGCATGCTGCCCTCCAGGAGCTTGCATATGTTCAGGTACCTGCAAGATCCCAGCACCATTTGTTGAAAAAATTACTCCTCCCCTTTGTTCACTTGTTAGAACAGGGCTAAAACAAAAAAATTAAAATAAAATGATTATTTCCCAACTGAATTGTCTTGGCATACTTTTAAAAAATCAACTGATCATAAGTCCATTTCTGGTAATGAATTTGACTTCATTAATCTACATATCTGTCTTTTTTTTTTTTTTTTTTTTTTTTTTGAGACGGAGTCTCGCTCTGTCACCCAGGCTGGAGTGCAGTGGCCAGATCTCAGCTCACTGCAAGCTCCGCCTCCTGGGTTCACGCCATTCTCCTGCCTCAGCCTCCCGAGTAGCTGGGACTACAGGCGCCCGCCACCACGCCCGGCTAGTTTTTTGTATTTTTTAGTAGAGACGGGGTTTCACCGTGTTAACCAGGATGGTCTCGATCTCCCGACCTCGTGATCCGCCCGTCTCGGCCTCCCAAAGTGCTGGGATTACAGGCTTGAGCCACCGCGCCCGGCCTGTTTGTTTTTTGAGATGGAGTCTCACTCTGTCACCCAGGCTGGAGTGCAGTGGCACGATGTCAGCTCACTGCAACCTCCACCTCCCAGGTTCAAAAAATTCTCCCACTTCAGCCTCCAGAGTAGCTGGGACTACAGGCATCCACCACTAGGCCCGGCTAATTTTTTTTTTTTCCCGAGATGCAGTCTCGGTCTGTCACCCAGTATGGAGTGCAATGGCACAATCTCGGCTCACTGCAACCTCCACCTCCTCGGTTCAAGCAATTCTCCTGTCTCAGCCTCCGGAGTAGCTGGGACTACAGGCACATGCCACCACGCCCGGCTAATTTTTGTATTTTTAGTAGAGACAGGGTTTCACCATATTGGTCAGGCTGGTCTTGAACTCCTGACCTCAGGTGATCTGCCCACCTCTGCTTCCCAAAGTGCTGGGATTACAGGTGTGAGCCACTGTTCCTGGCCATTTTGTAGTTTTCATTTTACAAGTTTCACAAATTTTTTTTTTTTGTGAGACGGAGTCTCGGTCTGTTGCCCAGGTGCGATCTCAGCTCACTGCAAGCTCCACCTCCTGGGTTCATGCCATTCTCCCGCCTCAGCCTCCCGAGTAGCTGGGACTACAGGTGCCCACCACCACGCCTGGCTAATTTTGTTTTTGTATTTTTTAGTACAGACAGGGTTTCACTGTGTTAGCCAGGATGGTCTCGATCTCCTGACCTCATGTTCCGCCCATCTCAGCCTCCCAAAGTGCTGGGATTATAGGCGTGAGCCCCCGTGCCCGGCCCACAAGTCTTTGTTACATGTATCCCTAAGAAGCGTTTTGTTCTTTTTGGTGCTATTGTAAATGGACTTTTTTTTTTTTTTCTTTTTTTGAGACAGGATCTCACTCTGTTGCCCAGGCTGGAGTGCAGTGGCACAATCTCCACTCACTGCAGCCTTTTGACCTCCCAGGCTCAGATGATTCTCCCTCCTCAGCCTCCCGGGTGGCTGGGACTATAGCCATGCACCACCATGCCTGGCTAATTTTTTGTATTTTTCGTAGAGATGGGGTTTTGCCATGCTGCCCAGGCTTATCCCAAACTCTTGAGCTTAAGGCATCCGCCCCAGATATTACTGCACCGTTTTCTTGCTCCTATAGCTCCTGATGAAATGTCTGCCATCAGTTTGATTATTGTTCTTTCACAGTCTGTTTTCCTCTCTGGTTAAATAATATTCTCTTTAGCCGTGATATTGTATAGTTACACTATGTTGAGTTTGGATGTGGATTTGTTTTTATTTATGCTGCTGGTACGTGGACGACCCTGTCAATGTGAGGTTCTGTGTCTTCATTTCTGGAAAGTCTTGGTACATTTTCAAATACAATGAAAAATCACAAAACATGGCTGGTGCAGAAGAAAGTAATGGTTTATAAGTTGTATTTTTTTTTTTTTTTTGAGACAGAGTCTTGCTCTTTCACCCGGGCTGGAGTGCAGTGGCACAGTCTTGGCTTACTGCAACCTCCACCTCCCGAGTTCAAGTGATTCTTGTGCCTCAGCCTCCTGGGTAGCTCAGATTACAGACGTGTGCCACCATACCCAGCTAATTTTTTGTATTTTTAGTAGAGACGGGGTTTCACTATGTTGGTCAGGCTGGTTTCAAACTCCTGACCTCAAATGATCCACCCGCCTCAGCCTCCCAGTGGTGGAATTACAGGCATGAACCACCTTGCCCTGCTGTACTCGCTTTTATTATACAGTACGTATGTAAACGTACTGTAGACTTGGAGTTTTAACAAAGTGTCCTATGCTCTCTTCTCTCACACCATAAAAACCTTTGCTTTTGTGATCAGGCAGCAGTCCATATTGCTGTCTTTGCACTCGGTGGTTTAAAACTGATTTAAAACCAGTGGTTTAAAACTGATTTTAAAAGTGGTTTAAAAGTGATTCTGACATTTTCTGAACTAAGACTTCAGTGCAGCTTCCCTTTTTCTTCTCCTACTTCTAGATGCTATTTTTCTTTTCTTTTCTTTTTTTTTTTTTTTTGAGATGGAGTCTCGCTCTGTTGCCCAGGCTGGAGTGCAGTGGCGCGACCTCGGCTCACTGCAAACTCCACCTCCCGGGTTCACGCCATTCTCCTGCCTCAGCTTCCCGAGTAGCTGGGACTACAGGCGCCCACTACGATGCCCGGCTAATTTTTTGTATTTTCCGTAGAGATGGGGTTTCACCGTGTTAGCCAGGATGGTCTCCATCTCCTGACCTTGTGATCCGCCCGCCTCGGCCTCCCAAAGTGCTGGGATTACAGGCATGAGCCACCACGCCCAGCCTAGATGCCATTTTTCTATCTTCTTCTTTACTTCTACATGGTTAAAAGGGAAAATCTTCACATTCTATATAGAATAATTATAAAGGTTAAAAAATCAACATATGGGAATTACATTATGAAGCCTAAGACATTGCTGCTGAGCCCACTGTGACAGCTATAATTCCCTCTTCTTTGTGTTTTCCAAAGATGGTCTCAACATTACCTCCCTCCTCTCTGCTTGCCTGACAATGTGAGTTAGACGCTTTCCCCCTTTAAATCCGGGTGGGCTGTGACGATGGTAGACGTGATGCTAACCAACTGCCAGGTCATTACGAAGCCATGCACTTTCACCTTTTCCTTCCAGAATGCTAGCCTTTGGAATCTCCTGCTGCAGACTCATTTGTCTCTCTCATGCTCCAAAGTTCATATGCTAAAGCCCTAACCTTCAATGTATTTGGAGATAAACCTTACAAGGAGTTAATGAAAGTTAAATGAGTTTGTAAGGGTGGATCCCTGATTCAATAAGATCGGTGCCCTCAGGAAAAGAGACACCAGAGAGCCTCTGTCTGCCATGTGAGGACACAGTGAGAAGGCAGCCATTTGCAAGCCAGGAAGAGGGCCTCACCAGGAACTGAATCAGCCAGTATCTTAATCTCAGACTTCCTAGCCTCCAAAACTGTCAGAAATAAATGTCTATTTATTTTATTTAAGTCACAGGCTGGTATTTTGTTATAGCAGCCTGAGCAGACTAATGCAACCTCCTCATCCCCTCTCCTGCCTATCATGCTGAGAAAGCTCAGGAAGCCAGTGAGAAGAAAGGAGGCCCCTGGCTCACAGCCCTGGATGAGCTCCAGCCTTCAACCAGTACAGGCCAGGTGGCCACATAAGTGAGTTTTCTTCAACTTGGATCCTCCAGCCCCAGTCAGGCTGCCCTAGCTGGCGCCATGTGAAGCAGAAAAGACGTGCCCCATTAAGACCTGCCCAAATTGCAGATTCTTGAGCAAAACAAAGTATTGTTTCTAGCTGCTGAGTTTTGGAGTTTTGCTTTCCCAAGTACTGCAAATCTGAAAATGTCTTTATTACATTCTTATACTTGGTAACCAATTCTGTGTTGACAACTGTTTCACCTCAAAATTTTGAATGTATTTCTCCACTGTCTTCTAGCATCCATGTTGCTGATGAGAAGTGATGCCCTCTGATTCTTCATCCCTTGAAGGAATTCTTTTTTTTTTTTTTTGAGGCAGAGTCTCGCTCTGTCGCCCAGGCTGGAGTGCAGTGGCCAGATCTCGGCTCGCTGCGAGCTCTGCCTCCCGGGTTCACGCCATTCTCCTGCCTCAGCCTCCCGAGTAGCTGGAACTACAGGTGTCTGCCACCACACCCAGCTAATTTTTCTATTTTTAGTAGAGACGGGGTTTCACCATGTTGGCCAGGTTGGTCTTGACCTCAAGTGATCCACCAGCCTGAGCCTCCCAAAGTGCTGGGATTACAGGTGTAAGCCACCGTACCCAGCCTAAACTTTACTTTTCTTAAAACATGTTATCATTGTCTTTGGTTCTGTGGGTTCATTGAATCCAGCTGAGTGGCTCCTCATCGAGTCATGGTGAGAGAGCCTGGGAGTGGAGCTGTCTGAAGGCTCACCTAGGCTGGAATTCCATTTCCATTCACGTGTCTGACACTGGGGTGGCCACACAGCTCAGGGCTGGCTGTGCATCTACCTTTGTGTGTCTTCCACATGGGTTTCTGGGTAGATTTCTTAGGCTGACTTCTCCAAAAGTAAGAATCAAAGAGCCCGCAGTAACTTTAATCTATTGTGATTTTATCTCCTGATAACCTTTTCTTGGGCTATTTCTTGAAGCATTCTGTTATTGTTCTAGGAATGTTCTAACAAGGTTCCAGAATGCTCTTCGTTTCTCTGTGTTTCTATTTCTTCTCAGGTCATTTTTCTAATTTACGTTGGTCTTTATTGTTCATGTTGAAAGTCTTCCCAATACACAATATCCTTAGCAGTCTTAAAGAGACTAAGACTGAGGAGATAGGAAGCTCACAAGGAGTCTGCATTCAAAAGCAGGACTTGTCAAGTGCTGGGCTTTGCCGTAGAAAGACTGGGTAGGAAGCCCATTGTCAGGCCAGCCTAAAGCCCACCCTACAGGGGTGTCTTTTTCTGGAATATTTCTGGAATATCCCCACATTATTTACGCTGGGAAACCCTGCTGCTGTGTGATTTGTGTGTGTTTGGGGGGATGGAGGGATGAGGAGTGGGAAGCTGCTGACTCATGCACATACCTGTCTCCATGGGGTCTCTGCTGTCGTCCTCCTCACCTTCCCAGGCTCCGTGTGCAGTGAAGCTCCAGCCCCTCGCTTTTCCAGGCTCCGTGTGCAATGAAGCTCCAGCCCCTCACCTTTCCAGGCTCCGTGTGCAACGCAGCTCCAGCCCCTCGCCTTTCCAGGCTCCGTGTGCAACGAAGCTCCAGCCCCTCGCCTTTCCAGGCTCCGTGTGCAATGAAGCTCCAGCCCCTCGCCTTTCCAGGCTCCGTGTGCAGTGAAGCTCCAGCCCCTCGCCTTCCCAGGCTCTGTGTGCAGTGAAGCTCCAGCCCCTCGCTTTTCCAGGCTCCGTGTGCGACGAAGCTCCAGCCCCTCGCCTTCCCAGGCTCCGTGTGCAGTGAAGCTCCAGCCCCTCGCCTTCCCAGGCTCCGTGTGCAGTGAAGCTCCAGCCCCTCACCTTCCCAGGCTCCGTGTGCAATGAAGCTCCAGCCCCTCGCCTTTCCAGGCTCCGTGTGCAATGAAGCTCCAGCCCCTCGCCTTTCCAGGCTCCGTGTGCAATGAAGCTCCAGCCCCTCGCCTTTCCAGGCTCCGTGTGCAATGAAGCTCCAGCCCCTCGCCTTTCCAGGCTCCGTGTGCAATGAAGCTCCAGCCCCTCGCCTTTCCAGGCTCCGTGTGCAATGAAGCTCCAGCCCCTCGCCTTCCCAGGCTCTGTGTGCAAGGAAGGGGGCTCAAGCGAAGGCCTCTTCCCCCCATTTCACTGTCACCAAGCTTTACCTCTGGACAACTGTGGCGTTCACCTGCTGGGAGCCCACTCCTTTCTCTGAACAGTTTCAGCGCTTAGCCTCCCTTCCTGAGCCCCTTTTGACAAGTTATCAGGTCTGGCAGGGAAAGAAGAACAAGCTCAAGCGCCCAATCTCTTATCTTAATCAGAAGGCGAACCCAGGTCTAATCCAGATGCTGCTATGCTGTCCCCTTTCTGGGTTTCATTTCCTTGTCTGTCAAACCAGGAGGAGGATTGGCCAACTCACACCTGACCCAGGCTGACACAAAGTCCAACTCCGGCTTCTCTCCACTCCTACCTGAATCCCCTGCAGCATACAAACAGGACTCAGGAGACCTGGCTTCAATCCTGTCTTGGCCATATTTTGATTGTGGCCTTGGGCACGTCCCTTTACCTCTCAGTTATCCCTTGCCTGCTTCGGAGGGCTGTTGCAGTCACCAAGTGACTGGACCTGAGGGTGAGCTGCCTAGGGGGCTCAACTGTGAGTGTTCCTTCCTCCCACCCAAGGTCAGCCTTGTCAATAATCAACACAGTGACTCGCTGAGCGCCTGCCAAGGGCTAGGCCTGCTACATACGGTGTTATTCTCACAGTCTACAAGAACATCACTATTAGCTCCATATTCCCAAGGAAGAAAGTGAGTGCCCAGAGAAAAAACTAAAATTTCTTGGAGGTGAAAAATAGAGACAAGGCTCGGTGGCTCACACCTGTACTTCAGAAGCACTTTGGAAGCCTGGGGTGGGAGGATTACTTGAGCTCAGGAATTTGAGAACAGCCTAGGCAGCATGGTGAGAACCTGTCTCTACAAAATTAGCTGGGTGTGGTGACATGCCTGCGGACCCAGCTACATGGGGAGCCGAGGTGGGAGGACTGCTTGAACCTGGGAGGTCCAGGCTGCAGTAAGCCAAAATTGCCCCACTGCACTCCAGCCTGGGTGGCAGAGTAAGACCTTATCTAAAAAAAAAAAAAAAAAAAAAAAATCACCGAAAAGAAAATTTTTATATGAAAGTTGAAAGATACAACCAAACAATAAGGCCAAGCACGGTGGCTCATGCCTGTAATCCCAGAACTTTGGGATGCTGAAGCGGGCGGATCACGAGGTCAGGAGTTTGAGACTAGCCTGACCAACATGACCAACATGGTGAAACCCCATCTCTACTGAAAATACAAAAATTAGCCAGGGGTGGTGGGGCCCTGTAATCCCAGCTACTCAGGAGGCTAAGGCAGGAGAATCACTTGAACCTGGGAGGCGGAGGTTACAGCGAGCTGAGATCACGCCACTGCACTCCAGCCTGGGTGACAGAGCGAGACTCCGTCTCCAAACAAACAAACAAAAATCCCGAAGAATAACAGAAGTATACAACAACAAAAAAGAAATGGAAAATATGAGAAACAGGAAGAAGGGCCTGGAAGGTCAATGCAGGAAAAGACATGGTGATGTTCAAGTCCAAATGGCAGCTTAGCAAGACAGCAGCCAGGAGCAAAGTATTAACAATTGGCCACAAACAGATAAAAGCTGGAAAACTCTTCTAGGCACCTTTTTTTTTTTTTTGAGATGGAGCCTTGCTCTGTTTCCCAGGTTGGAGTGCAGTGGCACGATCTTGGCTCACAGCAACCTCCAACTCCCAGGTTCAAGCGATTCTCCTGCCTCAGCCTCCCATGTAGCTGGGACTGCAGGCACGCACTACCATGCCCGGCTAATTTTTTTTAGTAGAGATGAAGTTTCACCATATTGGCTAGGCTGGCCTCGAACCCCTAACCTCAAGTGATCTGTCTGCCTCAGCCTCCCAAAGTGCTGGGATTACAGGTGTGAGCCACTGCTCCCAGCCTCTTCTAGACACTTCTGAAAAGTGCAGCAATTACTGACCACATGAAGGCCAGAGATGCAGCAGGCATCTATTTACACACATTCAATACATATATTACCTTCATATATTACACATTCATTCAACAAACTTACTGAATGCCTGTCATGGGCTGGCATGGTCCTGGGCACAGCTCTGCTTGCAGGAAGCCCACTTCCTCCTGGGGAGTCAAAGCACAAACAAAACCAAGTCAGTATGTCAACAAGCAGGGGTGATGAGATGGGGACCCAGGGGTTCAAGGGGCTGTCCTGGATGCATGACAGGGAAACATGGCTTCTTAAAGGACTTGGCAACGCACCATGAGAAAACACGCACCAGGGAGCAAAGAGAAACGCCAGAACCCTCTTGAGGAAGGAGGGGTGTGAGGTGGTCAGGATAGTCATCTGTGCTGAGCCATCATGGAAACTGAGGGCCTGTAAGGGTGGACACAGAGTGGAGGACAGACAAATCTTCCTCACCGGACAGGTGGGGATCCCTGCGGTGCACCAGGGGAATGCACACAGGGGGCACTATGACCTGGCGGCCCACGGGGCAGGGGGGTGCACCAGGTAGCCTTGGGCTCTGCAAGTCCCTCCCTGACCTTGGGGAGGTGACCCCAGTGCCACGACGGTTTCCAGCAGCAGTCACTGTCCTGGGCGGGTACCGCGCTCTAGCCCAGGTGGGTCCCACAAAGGTGTGACCAAGGATGTCCTATGATCACCCCTTTACAGGTAAGGAAACTGAGGCAGAAGATGCGAAGCTCGCGCAAGGAATGGGCTGTGCAGGTAGCTTCTCCAAGGCTTGCTGCGCCCTGGCCTGTGCGCATGATCCCGAGCGGGGTCTCGGTGCGAACAGGGGTTTCGCGGTGTGACCAGCGCCGGCTTATCTCCGAGCCGTGAGGACAAGGCCAACAGCCTGGGCGGCCGCGGTGGATCCTCGGGGCGAGGCGGGGAGGGCGCGGGGCCTTACTGGCCAGCTCGGACCAGGGCTGCGCAGGGCAGAGCCCAAGGGAAACGCCGTGCGGCCGCCGTCACGTCGGAGACGACGCCCTGCAGGCGCCAGCAGACGCAGAAGGCCAGCGAGGGCGAGGCACGGAAGACGCGACGCGACAACGACCACGTGCCCCGCCCGCCCCGCCGCGCGCCCTGCTGGGAGACGCAGTCCAAGCCTTTCGGGAGCCGAACTCGGGGTCCCAGAGAGCCTCGCGGCGCGCATGTGAGCCCCGCCCCTCTCTCGCGGCCTGCCGGGACTTGTAGTGCAACGCCAGCAGACTTCCGGGCCCGGAATGGGCGGTGGGACTCGGGGTCCCAGAGAGCCTCGCGGCGCGCATGTGAGCCCCGCCCCTCTCTCGCGGCCTGCCGGGACTTGTAGTCCAACGCCAGCAGGCTTCCGGGCCCGGAATGGGCGGTGGGACTCGGGGTCCCAGAGAGCCGTGCGCGGGCCGCGACGCCGAATACCGCCCTCGCCGTCGCCTCCTCCGGGCTTTCTCCTGTCGCTGCCGCCACCGCCGTTGCTTCGCGGGCTGGGAGGCCCGGGGTCCCCGGGCGAACAGAGGCTGCGGGTGGGAGCCTTCGCGGGCGCTGCAGAGCGGGCCGGGGGAGGCCGGGATGGAGCCCCGCGGAGGTGGGCGCGCTGCCGGGCGCGCGTTAGCGGCGATTGGGGAGGGGGCGGAGGGAGGGGCCCGGGGCGGGGCTCGGTGGCGGGGACTCCGGGGCGGGGGCACCGGGAGGAAGCTGCCTCGGAAGAGGTGGGGGCGGGGACGGGAGGGGCGGCGAGTCCCTGGGAGCCTGGGCTGTAGGCCCGGGCGTGGCGGGGCCCCGATGGCCTGGGGGTCTCCTGGGGCCCCCCTCCAGCCCGCCGCCCCGGAGCTAGGTCTCAGATGACTGAACTGGGCGCCGACCGCTCCTGCTGTCCCTCGCAGTGGACTGACGCCGCAGGGGCGAGCGAGCCGGCTCCACGCCTCTCCGCGGGATCCAGACGCCTCTCGGGGCTGTCGGCGGAGGGTCTGAGGCGGCCCGGCCATGGCTCACCTCCGGGGATTTGCCAACCAGGTGAGGAGGGTGCAGTTCAGGAAGACTAGCGGCCTCTCAGCGAGGGGCGCCAGAGCTTCCCGGGGGCTCCGAGGGGCGCCTCGCCGGAGCGGGCGGTGGGTGAGGGAAGGAGCGCGCGTCGTGCGACCAGCGGAGCCGTCCTGAGGTGGGCGCAGGGCGGCCCCCGGGCTCTGCCGTGTGCTTGTGGCGTTTTGCGTGGTAGGAGCTCGCAGACCTCTTGACACCGAGCCCCGGGTGGCTCCGCCTGTGCGAGGGCGGCCGAGGTGCGTGAAGAGACCCCGGCTCCGGGACAGGACGCTGCCCCCAGCGCGGGGCGGGAACCTCGTGTCGGCATCTGAAGGCAGTGGAAGGTCAGGGGCCACACTGCGGCCTGAGCCCGGGCCACGGGTCGTTCCGGCCGTTCTGGCCGTGTTGGGCTGGGCGGGGGCCGTAGAGGAGACCCTGATGGGCGCTGAGGGGCTGGGAACGTGGAGAAGCCGATCTGAGCGGCCGGTGTGCAGGGAAAGCGGAGAACGCGTGTGTGCTTTGGCCCAGGGGAAGGTGAAAGGCTGCTCTGTTCAGAACCGTTTAACCCCTGCTACGGGCGGTTGCCCGAACAGGAGGCTCGTCATTCCTCTTTGAAGAAGTCGGTTCCACTATGGAGCCACCTTGAAGCGTCTGGTGGGACAGCCTCGGAAGGAGCCACTACAGCGAGCCCTTAGTCTGGAATGAGGACCAGCTGCTGCTGCCACAGGGCATGCCAGGGAAGGAGGGTGGGGACAGCCAGCCTGGGACCTGGAGACTTGCACTGTGTACCTCTCCCCATTTTTTTGACTCTGGCTGCTGGGTTTTTTTACGTCTTAGCGTTCGGTTTTGCTCTCCTTGATGCCTTGGCTCTGCCTAAGGTGTTGGAATCGCCGCTAAAATGTGTGGCCCTCCTTGTTCACTCCTCTGTGCTGAATTCCTGAGAGCTGGGTGTGCAGTGGAACAGGAAGGGCGTCTGTCCGCATAGGGGCAGGAACTGGAGTCAGGGCTGCTTTGGAGGAAACTGGACCAGCCTAGAGACCCGGAATACCGTGTGCAGCTCTTGGGCCAGGCAGCCTGGACCTGCGCGGTCACAGATGGGACTGGGGCTTGCTGACTGATGCTGAATTAAGCTAACAGATTTTTGACTTTCTGTATCTGGTAACTTACATGACTAAGGTGCTGGGAGAAAAATCTGTCACCAGTTTATTTTATTTTTATTTTTTATTTTTTTGAGACAGAGTTTCACTTTTGTTGCCCAGGCTGGAGTGCAATGGCGCAATCTCAGCTCACTGCAACCTCTGCCTCCCAGGTACAAGCCATTCTCCTGTCTTGGCCTCACGAGTAGCTGGGATTACAGGCGTGTGCCATCACGCCCAGCTAATTTTGTATTTTTAGTAGAGACGGAGTTTCACCATGTTGGTCAAGCTGGTCTCAAACTCCTGACCTCAGGTGATCTGCTTGCCGTGGCCTCCCAAAGTGCTGGGATTACAGGCGTGAGCCACCGTGCCCGGCCACCAGTTTATTTTTAAGAACTGCAGAAATAGCTCCTTTGGGTCACGGGATGAGAAATTGGAGCTCTGAGGTGCCCTGTGACTGTGTGCTGTTGGTTCTTGGTGCGATCAGACCCAGGGAAGGGAGTGGGCGCGCACTGGGGAAGGGAGTGGGCGCACTGGGGAAGGGAGTGGGTACACTGGGGAAGGGAGTGGGTGCACTGGGGAGGGAGTGTGGGCGCACTGGGGAGGGAGTGTGGGTGCACTGGGGAAGGGAGTGGGCGCACTGGGGAGGGAGTGTGGGTGCACTGGGGAAGGGAGTGTGGGCGCACTGGGGAAGGGAGTGTGGGCACTGGGGAAGGGAGTAGACGTACTGGGGAGGGAGTGTGGGCACTGGGGAAGGGAGTAGGCGCACTGGGGAAGGGAGTGTGGGCGCACTGGGGAAGGGAGTGGGCGCACTGGGAAGGGAGTGGGCGCACTGGGGAGGGAGTGTGGGTGCACTGGGGAGGGAGTGTGGGCACTGGGGAGGGAGTGTGGGCGCACTGGGAAGGGAGTGTGGGCACTGGGGAAGGGAGTAGACGTACTGGGGAGGGAGTGTGGGCACTGGGGAAGGGAGTAGGCGCACTGGGGAAGGGAGTGTGGGCGCACTGGGGAAGGGAGTGGGCGCACTGGGAAGGGAGTGGGCGCACTGGGGAGGGAGTGTGGGTGCACTGGGGAGGGAGTGTGGGCACTGGGGAGGGAGTGTGGGCGCACTGGGGAAGGGAGTGTGGGCACTGGGGAAGGGAGTAGACGTACTGGGGAGGGAGTGTGGGCACTGGGGAAGGGAGTAGGCGCACTGGGGAAGGGAGTGTGGGCGCACTGGGGAAGGGAGTGGGCGCACTGGGGGAGTGTGGGCGCACTGGGGAGGGAGTGTGGGCGCACTGGGGAAGGGAGTAGGCACACTGGGGAAGGGAGTGTGGGCGCACTGGGGAGGGAGTGTGGGTGCACTGGGGAAGGGAGTGGGCGCACTGGGGAAGGGAGTGGGCGCACTGGGGGGGGAGTGTGGGCACTGGGGAAGGGAGTGTGGGTGCACTGGGGAAGGGAGTAGGCACACTGGGGAAGGGAGTGTGGGCGCACTGGGGAAGGGAGTGTGGGTGCACTGGGGAGGGAGTGTGGGTGCACTGGGGAAGGGAGTGGGCGCACTGGGGAAGGGAGTGTGGGTGCACTGGGGAGGGAGTGTGGGTGCACTGGGGAAGGGAGTGGGCGCACTGGGGAGGGAGTGTGGGTGCACTGGGGAAGGGAGTGTGGGTGCACTGGGGAAGGGAGTGTGGGCGCACTGGGGAAGGGAGTAGACGTACTGGGGAGGGAGTGTGGGCACTGGGGAAGGGAGTAGGCGCACTGGGGAAGGGAGTGTGGGCGCACTGGGGAAGGGAGTGGGCGCACTGGGAAGGGAGTGGGCGCACTGGGGAAGGGAGTGTGGGCGCACTGGGGAGGGAGTGTGGGTGCACTGGGGAGGGAGTGTGGGCACTGGGGAGGGAGGTGGGCGCACTGGGGAGGGAGTGTGGGCGCACTGGGGAAGGGAGTGTGGGCGCACTGGGGAGGGAGTGTGGGTGCACTGGGGAGGGAGTGTGGGCACTGGGGAGGGAGTGTGGGCGCACTGGGGAGGGAGTGTGGGCGCACTGGGGAAGGGAGTGTGGGCGCACTGGGGAAGGGAGTGTGGGCGCACTGGGGAGGGAGTGTGGGTGCACTGGGGAGGGAGTGTGGGCACTGGGGAGGGAGTGTGGGCGCACTGGGGAAGGGAGTGTGGGCGCACTGGGGAGGGAGTGTGGGTGCACTGGGGAGGGAGTGTGGGCACTGGGGAGGGAGTGTGGGCGCACTGGGGAAGGGAGTGTGGGCGCACTGGGGAAGGGAGTGTGGGCGCACTGGGGAAGGGAGTGTGGGCACTGGGGAAGGGAGTAGACGTACTGGGGAGGGAGTGTGGGCACTGGGGAAGGGAGTAGGCGCACTGGGGAAGGGAGTGTGGGCGCACTGGGGAAGGGAGTGGGCGCACTGGGGAAGGGAGTGTGGGCGCACTGGGGAAGGGAGTGGGCACACTGGGAAGGGAGTGGGCGCACTGGGAAGGGAGTGTGGGCACTGGGGAAGGGAGTAGGCACACTGGGGAAGGGAGTGTGGGCGCACTGAGGAAGGGAGTAGGCACACTGGGGAAGGGAGTGTGGGCGCACTGGGGGGGGAGTGTGGGCACTGGGGAAGGGAGTGTGGGTGCACTGGGGAAGGGAGTGTGGGCGCACTGGGGAGGGAGTGTGGGCGCACTGGGGAAGGGAGTGTGGGCGCACTGGGGAAGGGAGTGTGGGCGCACTGGGGAAGGGAGTGTGGGCACTGGGGAAGGGAGTAGACGTACTGGGGAGGGAGTGTGGGCACTGGGGAAGGGAGTAGGCGCACTGGGGAAGGGAGTGTGGGCGCACTGGGGAAGGGAGTGGGCGCACTGGGGAAGGGAGTGTGGGCGCACTGGGGAAGGGAGTGGGCGCGCACTGGGGAAGGGAGTGGGCGCACTGGGAAGGGAGTGTGGGCACTGGGGAAGGGAGTAGGCACACTGGGGAAGGGAGTGTGGGCGCACTGAGGAAGGGAGTAGGCACACTGGGGAAGGGAGTGTGGGCACTGGGGAAGGGAGTGTGGGTGCACTGGGGAAGGGAGTGTGGGCGCACTGGGGAAGGGAGTGTGGGCGCACTGGGGAAGGGAGTGGGCGCACTGGAGAAGGGAGTGTGGGCGCACTGGGGAAGGGAGTGGGCGCACTGGGGAAGGGAGTGTGCGCACTGGGGAAGGGACTCCAAAGGTAGGAAGCACCTTTTGTCCTTTTAGGGGTCCTTCGTCCCAGCCTGGATGATGAGAGACTTGACTTCATATAGTGGCAGAAAACCTGAGGGGCTGTGGTTTTCTCCTGAGATGGTTGCCGTGGTGTCCGTGGACCTGTGGGCAGCCCCTTTGTGGGAGAGTGGGGTGCATTCCCCCCACAGCCTGTGCTCCTGCCTTAGGCTTCTCCCCTCTACCTGGCCAGTTCCTGCCTGGCCCTGGAGGGCCCGAATGGCTATGGGGTGCCAGGGTACTGTATCGTCACTCAGCTGCTGCCTGTCAGGTGGCAGCTGGGGGTGTCTCAGCTGTGTGTGCTGGGTTGTTCGCTTTGTTTTGTGGGGCAACACTGACAGCAGACACATTGACAAGTGCAGGCCCCAGACCTGGCAGCCCCAGGGCTGATGTGGAGAGCAGGTGTCCACCGCCAGAGTCATTTGAGTGGCCTGAGTGATCGTCCAGGCCACAGCTGCTGCTACATCCAAAAGAGGATCCGCAGCCTGCAGGCCAGAGGCCCACTTACCCTTTCTTCTCCAGGTGGGGGTGAGGATGGCTTGCCTTGGCTTGGCCTGCGATGTCATTGTAGGGCCAGGATCACAGCCAAGAGGGTTCCTGTCACACAGTTTCTGCTTGGACTCATGAGCCCTGGCTCT